CCTGGGGACCAGACCTCCTGTCAGCTTGGATCCACAGAAACTCAGCTCTGCCAGCCTACCCCTCTTGGTCTTCCCAGCCCTCCTGCTCCTCCCCAAAGGGCCAGCTGAGGGGGCGTGGGCGAGGGTGGGATTCTGCCCAGACTGCTGTCCCTAGGCCCGCGGTTCCACCTCCTGTCGGGACCACCCTGCTCTAAATTGCCAGGATGACAGCTCTATGCCTCACCCTTAGCTCCCCTGAGGTCTGGGCAGTTGAGCCCCAGATGGGAGGCCTGCAAATGTACGTGGATGGTGAGGCACAGGGGGCATGGGATGGTGACTAAGTTAATCTCCAAAGAGCCACTCGATCATGCATTCCTGCAGACATGGCTGTGTGACCTCCAGCAAGTCACTTAGCCTCCATGGATGCCAGTCTCCTGAAAGGTGACAGAGTGGTGACATGCACAGGCTGCCCTGAGTCTGCCAAGTGTCAGCTTGTGGCCAGAGCTCTCTAAGCTGCTCTGGGCAGTCGTTATGTACCAGCTGCACCCCAGCCCTCCAACCTCCTCCCCCATGCCTAGCCTGGCCCCTGCGGTGGCCCTCCCGGCTCCTGTGACTTCTGGGGGGACAGGTAGTGCAGCATGTGGTGGCCCCAGGAGTGTGCCATGGCCCTCTATTAGCTCCCACCTGCCTGGGGACAGACAAAGGAGAGAGACAGATTGTAGGCCATGCCCTCCCAGCCCTACTGGCCATGGGCAGGTCTGGGCCTGCCTGCTTGGGCACTGCAGGGTGGTGACAGAGGTGATTCTTGTGGCCCCTCACGGAGGGCCTGGGAGGCTGGCCCAGGGGAGAGGTCACCTCTGCCAAGAAGAAGAGCAGTGGGGGTCAGCAGGCACAGGTTTCCCTGCCCTCCACCCCTCCCTGCAGGATAAGGGGCCCCACTGAGCCTGGCCTAGTCACTGTCACCTCCTGGGTGACAGGCCACTGGAAGCTGAGCACAGAGGCCTTTAGAGGGGACAGAGACCAGTGGGTCTGGGCACCTCAGATGATCCTGAGCATCTCTGTGGAGAGGGGGGCCACAGTGCAGTGACCAGCCCTAATGACAGAACAGTTTCAGGTTCTTGGCCTTGGTGGGCTTCTTGCTGGGATAGGGGCTGCAAGGGAAGACCCCTGGCTCCGGTGACAGGCTGCTGGTGGCCCACAACAAGGCTCTGAGCTGGGGCTCTGCTCAGCCTTCGAGTGTCCCCCACACATGCTCTTCCTGGACCATCAGGGTGGCCCCTACTGGTGACAGTAACACCCACACATCTCACTCACTTACAGTGACGTGGACACCTCAAGGATGTTAATTTTGCTCTCCAAAGAACCCACAGCATCGGCTCGGCGCCTATGGCTCAACCGGCTAAGGCGCCAGCCACGTACACCTAAGGTGGCGGGTTCGAATCCCCAGCCCGGACCCGCCAAACAACAATGACAG